CAATCCTCGAAAAGCTGCGGAACGAAACTGACCTCATTTCGAACCGTGGCAACAATGAAGCGCACTCTGTACAAAAATGCCGAAAGGCTTTAGCCCCCAAAAAAGGGAAAATTCTGCCTTCTGCCTGTCATTATTCGCCCGGCCCGCCGCCGACGACGACGACGACGAAAATGAAAACCTTGGGCCGAGTGATGCGATGTCTGGAGGGGGTGTTCCGATTAGATCAGGAACAAACGAATAAAAAACCGGCCAAGGCTACAATCGAAAAACACTCGCGTAGAAATATATGTATCTCTTGGGTGCGCGTTTGTGTTCATGTTTTTATCCTTGATGCAGGCGAGCGGACGGACCGCGAAGGATCAACTTCGTGACTGGACTCCGAAAATGGATTAGAGATAGCAATCAGGGGTGCACCCCTCGTTTCCTCAAAGGGGGAAAAACAAGCTAGCGATACCTGTGCGAGTGCATATATCTGGCTAGTCATGATCCCTGGAGCAGCTAATGGTAGGCACAATCGATTCATTAGAAAAGGATAGCACACACGAAATGGTCTTAATTTTTCTCTGTCAAATGGCGACGAGGGAGATCGTTATCGGTGATCCCCTCGGCAACGTCATCGTTACGAAGGCCACCATATTTGGCCTACAAATGATAGCGCGACAGCGCAAGCTGCATCGGCTTCTTAGAATTGTCACCAGCTGATGATCCGCAAATAAACACACACACACACACACGCTGAGAGAGCGAGAGAGACAATAAGTCTAATAACGTTTTAATGACCTCATTAAGATCCAAGCCGGACGAATCGCACCGTTGTTTGTTGTTCGCATTCACTGGCATCGACGCTGTTGGCATGTTTTCCGAAGAAACCCAGCGGCTGCATAAGGAATCCATCAGCCAAACGAACGTAAACGTGTTTGTTGTTTCCTCGGAAATTGACGGATGAGCGGTAGCCGGAGTAGAGACAGAGAGTGCGCTCACTCTGCCCGACAAGTGTGCGTGCCGATTTCCTAGAAATCGCAACGGCATCGGATCGTGAATCTTCCTTTCCCTTTGGCGGCGGGAGTAGAATTCCAGACTGGGCGGGTTCTGGGAAGTCACCGTACCGTGTGATGATTTCAAGATGCTTGTCTCGTGATATGAGAGACGGAGAGTGAGAGACATGCGGGAAATTACCAATTGATGGGGTTCTCAGAATCAGAAGAATGCAATCCATGGACCCCTCGTAAACTGTCAAATCGTCTCTGTTGAATCAATTAAAATATTCTCACGTCGCCGAGCCAGGTGCGCGCCGTGCAGCTCATCGTGGGAAAAAATCACACAATCCCGAATTTTGAATAAATTAGGACCCATCCAAGTAAACGGGAGCAAATTCCGTCACCTCCGTTGCCAACATATGGCTTGCTCTGATTTGAATAACAAACGCTCGCATCCATACGGAGCAGGAAAGTCTCACCGGCAGAGTGCGCTCTCTCCTGCGTTGCTTGGCGTTTCTTTTGACAGATCGTGGTTGGCTCACAAGGCTCAAGGGGGTAAATATGTTAAGTAGATTCCTGTCAACGACAACGGTATGTGTGCTGAATCGTAAATAAACTATTTTGTTTTGTGTCTGGTCTGGCTTCATTTGAATATTTTTCAGGGTACTTTCTCGGCCCGGCGGAGTTCCCACCGAATCCGGGAAAGGTGCTCATAAATAACACACGAAAAAATCAAACAGATAGAAAAAAAGATGAATGGGCTAAACTGAAAATCCACCGTAAACTAAATCTATTGTGATGCTAATCGGAGGGAAATTAGATGCATCTATTCTCATCCAGGGCCAGGGGGAAACAGCGATGCATTCAAAACAAAACAACAAAAACGCTGCAGGAATTTTGACACGTTGCACCTTTCCGGGTTGTAACTGTCACGGATTCCGAGCGTCACGGCTGAATAACCCTCTCGAACCCGGGGAGCCACAAAGCTTCGTGGCTTCGTTTTTTTTTTTAGGAAGCCCTCCGCCTACTTTGAGCCGAAATGCGGGGGCTAGCCTAAAGCGACGCCGCTGAGGCACCATTCGAAGAGGTAATTTATGCATCCGATAATCGTGTCCAACTACGGCAGCAGTGGCGGCGGCGGCGTCGGTTCTTTTCATCCTCCTTCTATTCGGTCAGAAATGGGAAAAAGAACTAGCCATCGCCGTGTTGTCGTCGTCGGGCTAGAACCTTCCGAACAGCGCATGGTTGTCGCATTTATTATATTGTTTTGATCATTAACATTTTGCGCGGGGGTTTCTCATATTTTATACGACGCCCCCTCCTCGCTGGAAAGATTTCGTCCTGCTGATAAGATTGGAACGAGCCGACTACCGTCTGAATCTGACTGACATCCGGTCGCGCGGTTTGCGGCACAAGTGACACATAAATGGAGCGCACTTGCCGACGCGCTTGTTGTCGAGCCCCTCGGTGCATGCCGCTTCGCGAGGGACACTTTGACAGATGAGTTTGCCGTTTACCGCTGGAAGTGCAAGTGCATTTCAACTTGTAAAGCGAAGTTTGTGTAAAAATCGGAGTGGATTTTGAAAGGAACTCAAAAATTTGCCGCAGGACAGAAAGCAATAAATCCAATTATTCTCAGGAAAGCGCTCCCATTTGACTGCGTACATATGTTTTCGTCGTGCCGCTATCATTATCCTGTGAGTATTGCTTTTTTCGGCAATTGAAGAGCATTCGAAGCAGCCTGCTTCGTATATGTTTCCGAGACCGATGACGACGACGACGACGACGACGGGTAAGGGGCAAGGATCAGGGGCAAATAATAGCATTCTCGAGCTTCGAGTGAGTCGCTCCCTTCGATGGGCTCCTGTTGACTTTCGAAGCAACTCGAATGCCTAAACAAAAGGTGTGTTATGCCTCTCCGTTACGGAAAAAAAAAGTAAAAGGGGAATAAAGCTACTCTACCCGGTACCGACTTCGAAGGTTAAGAGTAGATAAATCTAAATAATAGGTTGTTTGCGCCGATACATCTACGGAGCGTGGAGCAAAACCGAGCGCGCTTGTTGGCCTTTAGGCCTTTCGGGTGAGTCACTGTGCAGCACGAAAAATTCCGCTGCATGCTGCCAATTTCCCTCGTGATCTGGCGGTGATTCCGAGTTTGCATTCACAATAAATAATAACCAAGGGAACGGAAAACTCTTTCGACTTCTCCTGCCAGGCTGGCAGACGGGCCAAACTGCCAACGAATCAACAAAACAACATCTGCATATTATGCGTTTTTTTTTCGCTACTCGCTTCCTTCCGAAATCCCTTCGGGGGGGTTTCATACAATTTCTCGCCTTCTGACAAGTCTACCGGAGCAACAACGTTCATCAAGCAAGCTCTCCGAGCCCTAATGATTACATTACGGGAAATTTGAAAAGTGTTGAAAAATTAGAACTCAAATAACGACCCGGTGCGATCGAAGCGTTGAGATAAAAACTTTTGCACCACCAGAGAAAACACAGCTGTCAAACTAACAACCTGTCAAATGGTCAATCTGTCAAAAATGATTACGAGAAACACAAAAGCGTTGAGAATTTCAAGAGAGGTCGAAGGGCACACACATGGCCAAGCTTCGGATCGCTCGAAGATTTCGGAAGACGCGGAGCAATAAGAGGAAAAAACACCTAGCAAATAAACATCGAAGCCTTTATTTGTTTATTAATTTACGAGTGTCTCTCCCCTGTCTCTCCCGTCCGAGTCCATCGCGTGAAGCATGTAAAGCGCTGCTGCGCGGTGATGATGGTAACAAGTGACAGCATGACTCTTCCCGTCGTGCGTGCCTTCGTTCGAGTGCCCTTCCGCTCGACCATAGAGGAGACTTGCGGACAGGAAAAAGAAAATATTTACTTTTAAATTTCCAGCGTGAGTGTGTCTCTCCCCCCACTGAACAGGTCTTATTGTGTTTGTACTCTTCTTCGGTCGCGGGACGGAACAACATCAGAATGCACGCCTTTCTCCACCGCTTTCGGCAGGAGGCTCCGGGGGTGTTGTTTGCATTAGAAATATTCTCGCCGAAGCGTGAAACTTGCTTGCTTTTGACAGCGCGCTCGAAGGCCCTCCATAAATTGTGCGCTAAATTGGCAGTTTCCACCATTGGACAGCCACATAGCGCAAGCACTCTATCGGTATTCAATTCACGCGGGATTCTTTGGCTATTCAGCCGTTTCAAATTAGCACTTTTGAAGCTGCTACGACCACTTGCTATGCACGAGCGCACGTCCGACCACTTCTTCCCGCCCGAGTGGCGTCCCCATCATCACCAAGCTGTCAAAAGCGACAAAAATTGATTCTCCAGCGAAGTCGACGACGGCGTAGTTGCGAATGTCGCGGGAATGACAAAATATGAATAATAAAAATATTTTCTTTCTATTAAACTGTCAACCGCTTCTTTGCGGGAAGGGGTTCCGTGATAGCGCAGACGGGGAGCAAGTCACGGGAAGGCCCCCTGAACATAAATCATTATTTTTCAATGCGTTGCACGGCGTGGCTCGGGAGATCCAAGCAGGCGAGGCACGTTGACCCTTTCTGCGCTTACATTTTTGGGGAGCTTTGGAAGCCGCAAGCTTGGAAGAAGATCCCCGGCACCAAGTGCGAAGGAATGTGCACGCTAATTTGCATACGCGACTGGAGAGACTGTTGAAATGGGCTCGTCCATTCGTCGGTTTCAAGGTGGAGGTGAAGAATGCTTATCTAATTAATTTATCTAAGCCGTTTTTTTTTTTTTGGTTTGGTTTCGTAACGTTCGCTTCGGCGGCATTCTTTCGGTCACATGTGGGACCGAAACCGGGCCTAAATGGGCAGTGAAAAATGTGAAACGCGATGGGTGGATGGAATCTTGATTTTTTTTTTTTTTTTTTTTTTTTGACAGAAACAACGTTTACTAGTCAATGGAGGACGTGCGAAAGCTTACGATGGAACCCAATTTAGCCGCTTTAGTTGAAATAGGTGGCAGGAGGAGCTGAAGCATGGAGACAAACTTACCGTTCAGTGAGCGACGTTGAAGTCCACACGATTGGATGGGGTTCTGAAAATAATGGAGAAATTCATAGATTAAGTATTTGGAAGTAAACTGGGTAGGGTTTTTAGGAGGCAATATTTATAATTTCGGTTTCAATGATCAATATCCTTTTGCAGACCCCTCGTTTTGCATTGAATCAGGGAAGAGTGCCTGCATTAGACGAGTTAAAGCAAATTTTGTAGTTTGAAATGGCGTTAATAGATTTAATATGTGAATCTACAGTGTTGGTACCATACTGCTAAAGAAAATTATTACTTTATGGTTTAGTTATAAAGTAAAATATTAAGCTCATCATTCACTAATAAGGGTGTCGACTCAACGAACAAAACAAAATTCCCTGATGTTCCCTGATTTTCCAGTATTTTTCAAATAAATTCCAGGTGCAGTGCCTACCCAATTTTGGCAACACAACTCCATCAGCACTTTCCTCAGAATATATTAGTACTTTTTGGACATTTTTTTTTCATGAAATACCACACGGACTTCTAACCCATGAAGAATGCAAAAAAGACAGAAATCTCGTGTTGCCAAAAACGGGAAGGATCCGCATTCTACCCTACACAGAAAAAAATGCTGAATTGGAACTATCGCGTAGATCGTTTAATTTTGAGCTATACTTGGCATAAACAGCGAAATCGTTTACAAGTTTGCATACAATATTGCAAATCTATGCGATATTGCGCTTAAATTTACACGAAATATCCCGTTAATTTATGCCAAATCTAGCGTTAATTTTATGTGTGCTATATCTCGCAGAAATTTGCATGAATTTTTCAAACGGTGTAGGGGCATAAATTCATCCAAATCTCCAAATCATCTTCATAGTGGCCAGCAAATCTCGATTAGCAATTTTTCCGTTTTTCTCCCGGAGTTTTAGAAATTATCGCGGTTTAGGTATTTTAATTAAGCACAAAACTGAAAGCGATGAAGCCGAAGGATAAATGGGTAATTTCTAAGACAGCAGGACCTTTGCTGGATCTTGAATTTGGATCTGCGACAGGTTCGAAGTATCTTTTTGTATGAAAATTTCGCCCGAAACTTTAAGGCTTTTATTTGATTATTCTCAAGCCTTTCCTTAAGATTAATTTCCTTTCACATTGATCTCTCCAGAATTCTTCTAAAATAAATTTGAAATTCTCTCTAGAAATTCCTTGAAATTGTTTTTAAAATAGTACAGAAATTCTCTGTAGAACACTCCCAAAAATTTTAAATTCATCCTTTCTTCGAACTCTTTCTAAGAATTCACTAGAGCTTGAGTTTTTAAATTGACATGAAATTCTCCGTAGAATTCACCTCAGACCAACAATTGAAAAAGGCCTATTAGCTTTTGTGAGCAAAACTTGTATTCCTCCTTCCCCGCCAACACCATCTGGCAAGGGAAATTCTCCCGCCGAGAATGGTCTTCACATTTTTCTCAGAATTATCTTGGAGTTGGCCTCTAAAATCTTTTGAAAATTGCATGGAATTCTCATTAAAAAATTCTCTTGAAATGCACTTGGAATTACACTCGGACTTTCCTTACAGATCTTCGCAGAATTACTTTGGAAATGTACCCTCAAAATCCGATTCCATTGGAATTTTTCAAGAATCTTGGAATCCTCTTCACTCTTGGGAGATCTAGTAAAACCTCTTTTGGAGGTTTTCTAAAGCTCCCTCCCCCTTGATGTTATCTCTGGAATTCATTCTAAAATCTACTCAAATTTGCTTTGGAAAAAAAACATTCTAAAATTCTCTTAATAGTTCTTCAGAGTGACTGTAGTTATACTGAAAATCGCAACCAGTCCAAGGGTCTTGAATTCTTATTGTTTTCGAAGAGGGGACGAGGTATAATTTTCCAGATGTGTCAACTAAATGCATGGAATTTTCCCGGTGACTTAAAATTTCAGCTTTTTCCGGTTTTCCCGGTTCACTGGTCACTCTGCATTTCACATATGAAACACTTGTTTTTAATCCCATTATATTTGTTTTACCTTGAGCACATTTTGAGACCCAGCTCCGTAAGGAAATTATTCCGGATAATATGCTTAACCAAAAGCTAATTCGCGGGTGGATTCCTCCGGTGGGAAATAGTAAAAACAACGCTGTCATCTCCAAAATTATGTTAGTTAATTCCATCTAAATTGCAATAGCAGCTACATTACCATATTAAAACTTTACTGTGAATCTAATTTCACGAGCTAACCAGGTTAACAATGAAGACCAAGAATACTTAATACATCCGCTCTATGCTGTCAAAGTAATGCTTGTCTACGTATCTTTGAAATGAAATGTGCTACTCCAAGCAATCTAAAACAAAACTCCCAAGCAAGACCATTATCCTAAATTGTCATTTAGTTAGTTCTCTGAGCTAATCAAGCTGTTAAGATCACAAAAAGGAACAAGAACTAGCAGTATTCAGAAAAAATCAATATCTTCTCTTAAAACTGGGCTTGGACAAGGCAAGTCAGTTGATCAACTCAGTTGAACTCAACTGACTTGAACGAGTAAACCATGCCAATTAACTGACTTGAATTGAAAAAAAGTTGAACCAGGCTCAACTTTTCAAGCCAATTGAATTCAGCTGAGTTCAATCAATGACTTGCCTTGTCTAAGCCCAGCTTAACTCTTAATCATTCTTGCATTTGCTCAAAAGCGCTCCAATGCGCTCAAGGGATTGATTTTTGTTGGGCACAGCTGGATCGAGCAAATTAAATTGAAAACCATCCTCAAACTACAACGAGTAATTAAGTTGTTTGAAACTAGCGAAGTCAGTCATACTTATTAATATGTTTCTGTTATAAAGAAATAATTCCCTGACTTAAAGGAATTCCCTGATTTTCCAGAATTTTCCAGGTAGTCGACACCCTGCTAATAGGCACCACTTTTACAGTTGTGGAAGTGCCTAATTGTGGTTCCTTTAATAGAGGAACCCGACCATAAGGGAATAACACATTTATTACAGCTTGTGTTATTTTGTTTCACTATAATTTGTAACACAGCTTGTTACACTCAAGATCCCGGATGTAGTTAAAATAACAAAAAATGTAACAAAAATTTCCTTTAGATACAACAAAAATATAATTCACTATGTTATTTTCATAACAAAAACATAACAAATTTTGCAACACAATTATGTTGTGCTATTACAAAATTATATCAAATCGTGTTATAATCATATATTTCACTTTGTAAATCAAAAACTCAGATTGATTAACAGAAATACAAAACATTATCAAGCTCATAGAAAATATAATGCTTGAAAGACACAAGAAGAAATATATTTGATTTTTTATTGGGGTTTGGTCAAAAATATCTGGTTGTGATAAAATCTTGTTAAGAATCAATTACAAAATCATAAAAAAATCAATGCATTTAAATTTGTTTAAGATTTGTTATATTATTTTCTTGGTGATAAGTTTCCTTAACTTAATTACATCATAATCAGTTATCCATAACAAGGCTTGTTAGAATCTTGTTATTTTATTGTTATACCCTTCTTGTCGGGAAACCATTGTTTTCTATGGATTATACAATTTAAATAACACTATCAGTAGATCACCTTTTCGTGGTATGTAAGATCTACAGCCGATTCCTAGTCCTGACTTCTTCAAACTCGGGGAACAGGATTTTCCAGTAATCAAAGCAATACATCTTAGTCCTTGTTACTTTTTATGCCTTCTTGATAGTGACAAGACTCGGCTTTGTCCACCGAGGATGATCTTGAAACAAGGAAAAAATTAGTTAATTAGTCTTCATCTATGTGATTCCTAATCTTCTATTCGTTGTTCTAGTTAGAAGTGGTTAAGACAAGGGTTCTGATGCATGGTCATTATCGGTATTATTGCTAAATTTAGTTGCTTAGGAATCCAATTTTGACTGACAAGGGTGTTCTCACTCTTCGAAGGGTATAAATTGCGGGACCTTTAAATTAGAGTCGGATCCTTGCGATGAAGTCAAGAATGACAACTGTTTCAAAACTTCATCACTTCTCAGAAGTGATGGAGTAATACGACATGCACGAAACTAAGGACACGGGATATACTACAATAGATCAAATTATTGGTCCCAGTGGTGGTATTCGTTTCCGAGAAAGGTTTGAAACCTTTAAGCGAATACATATGAAAATCCACCATTATTCGAGCAAAAGTTCCATAAAATTTTCTTGATACAAAAGTTTTAAATATTACAACCAATAACAGATTCTATACGGTGAATTTAATTAATATATTGGGATTCAAATATCTCTGATCAAAATGGAAGATATCTAAATTCTACAATCAAGATTAAATTTTAAAGTAAATTAATCAAGTGATTCGAGAATTCAACTTCTAGATCAAAAACAGTTTGCCCGGATTTTTTTTTCAATTCCGGGATTTCGATTTTTCAAAACTCCAGCGTATTAACGGGGCCTCATAGCCCAATCAGTAAATGCACGGTATTATCAAGCCGGAGGCGGCGACTTCGATTCCCAGGCCAGTCGAGGGACTTCACTGGGCATAGAGTATCATCATAGAGGTAACTCTAAGACTAGAAGGTTCCGAAGAAACGTGCTTAACTTTTAGGCTCAGCTCAGGTACACTCTTCGGTCCCAAGCTAATCGATGCACCCCTCGAAACATAGGAAAATCCACGAACTCCTCATTTTATCTGTCAAACTTTCATATCGAATCAAAACAAACAGTGTGTAGTACTCGAATTTTGACTAGAAATGGGGTATGTTAATCGATTTGCTTGGAACCAATAGGCTAGTCAAGTAGTGAGCCAATTTAAAATCGATAGTTTCGTATTGATTGTTGGTATCATTGTGCTTGCAACATAATATACAAATTAATGCAGTGGCGTCGTGTCCACATGTGCAACCTGTGCACGACACAGGTGTTAATAATAAAAAAAAAATGCGTTCCGATTTTTATAGATTTTATGGTCACATTATAGCTGTACTTCTTTACTGCAGACCACAAGTGACCATGAATACACTCAATTAAATCTTCGAACTTGGTTTGCTGCAAAAAGGATTAAATTCAGTTC